TCGTCGCTGTCGATTTCTTCCTCCCCTCCTCCTCCTCCTCCTCCTCCTCCTGCTCCTGCTCCAAAGCCGCCGGCTCCTGCCCCGTCAGCCACACTCCGGCAGTCGGGCAATCGGGCTCTCGCCAAGTGGCACCCACTGCCGCGACGTAACATGGCGGAGGCAATACCGCGGAGGGCGATTTGGGCCTAAAGGGGAGGGGAGGGGGGGGGCAGGGGGAGGGGGGAGATTTAATGGGGTGGCTTGGGGGGGAGACGAACCACGAACGAGTGAAGCTGCTGCCAAGGAAAGCGCAGGACGGACCAGTAGGCGGTTTTGACGTTTGGTTTGGGGGGGGAGGGACGGACGGCTCACGATAGATACAGTTACGAAGGCATGGTTCAGATTCGACAGTGTGCAACATGTCAGCTAGCAGTGCAGCACAGCCAATAAATCAGCCACAGTCTACTTTACTACTTCCGCCGCCACGTCGGCCACGTAGACTGTCCGATTGCACCATATCACCCCCTTTCCGATACCCTTCCTTCTTTGCCGCCTATTTAGTTTTACACATCACCTCCATCACGGCTTCCGTTCCTTTTGTTTCTTGGCTTTTACACGACTTTCCTTTCTTTCATCTAGCCGGCTTGGTAGTTCTTCTTCTGGGTTTCTCGCCTTCTGCCTTCTTTGGACTTTGGACTTGCCAGTTAGTAATTCGTCTCGCAACCCAGCTGGCCCCACGTCGCCGGCATGATTACTACTACTCAAAGAGTCACCACTGGTCAGTAAATATTTCCTGATGCAGCATTTATAACCTCTCCTGGACTACCCCCGTCTATCTTTGGTATTTTGAAGCGCTCCATTCGCCAGTGGCTGGTTCGTCTTAAACCCCACCCCTCTCCCCTCTCCCACACACACACAGCAATGTGTCGATGACGTAAGATGGCAAGGTCCTCGACCCTCCGGGAGCTCTCCCATTCTTAGTCGGTTGTACTCCTCTCTTTTAAGGACGTTACCGTTACCATTACTGCTACCGTTTGGCGCATGTCCGTTTCCCCCCTCCCTACCCCCCCCCGGTCCCTAGCCACCTGCAGCAGCAGTCTCCGACCCCGGTCCAACTCCGAGCTGTTCAGCACCGCTTGGCTGGTGGTAGCGGCGGTGGTGGTAGCGGCGGTGGTGGTAGCGGTGGTGGTGGTAGCGGTGGTAGCGGCGGTGGTGGTAGCGGTGGCGGAAGGGATGGAGTTTGATCCAGACGGCGGCGCCGGCGGCGGCACGCTTCCGCAAGGCGGCTGACCTTGTGCCGTATGAGCTCCGGCCGCCGCTGGTGGTGCCTCAGGGGAAGTGGGAGGAGGGGGCGGACGGAGGAGGTCAAGGAAAACTGGCCGTCCAGATCCGCTGAGGGGCCCGAGACCCGCGTGGCGAGTGGCAAGTAACGCCGCCGCCACGCGGCCCTCAACCGCGCGCTGTACGACAGGCAGGAGAGCCGCCTCCGCGGCCATCGCGGCCGCCTCAACAGCCGCCGCCGTCGGCGGCGGCAACGTAATCGTGTGACGTTCACTCAGTCCTGCACAGTAAGGCCCTTCTAGCAGGCCTCCCTCCGTGGACATCCAGCTTGCGGCGCCGCCGGTTGCCGCCGCCGCCGCCGCCACCGGTGCCGCCGCCGGGGTCTGCGGTACGGGCTGCGGCGGCGGTTTCTCCTCCCATCCGAACCATTGGAGGAGCTCCACCGGCAGTTGATCGGGCGGCAAATTGCTAGTGGCGAGAATCAAGAAACCCCCTCCGCCGCCGCAGCCGCCGCAGCCACCACCGGCTCCAAAGAGGCCAAAGGTTGGGGCCCGTAAGCCGCCGGCAGCGGCGCTGACGTGTTGCATGAATACGCTCCAGGCAGGGCTGATGCATGTATAACTACGCACCTCCGCCTCCTCCGCCTCCGCTTCGTCGTCGTCGTCGTCGTCGCCATCATCGCTGCCTGCCGACTCTCCGTCGCCCCCGTTAACGTCAACGACGCCAAGATCGGCGGCTTGCCTACCATTTCCCACATCCGCGGCGCCCCGGCGTCCCGAGGAGGCCTCCACGTGACATAGATCCAAATCTGACTCGGAATCTGAATGTGGATCTGAATCCAAATCCATTTGCACGTGCTGCTCCAACGCCCACGTGTCAATGGCCGGCAGGTACAGCACCCGCAGCTGCTGGCCCCAGTGCTGAGACCCGTGGGTCGGTGGAGCAAGCGCCTCCGAAACCAAGGACGCCACGCCCGAGGCCGCGTCCTCCAAGCCGCCGCCACCGCCGCCGCTGCGGAGGACGATGCCGGGCAGGTTGATCGTTTGCACGCGGACGTGTACGGGAGTGCGCGGGGGAGTGGCGGCAGTAGCGATGGCGGCACGGAAGGGCTCCTCAGCCGTCACAGGACGGCCACCCGCGACGGGGGGCGTAGACCTGCCTGACCTTGCCTCACTTGGGGCCCCGCCGGGAGAAGGAGGGGGAGGGGGAGCAGGAGGAGCAGCAGGAGGGGGACCTGCTGCCAGCAGCCTGAGGATTAGCGCCGCCACGGCTTCCTGGCCCATGTCCCCCTGACCACACAGCAGCAAGCGGCAGCAGGCGGCGGAGGAAGACGGCGGATGCAACAGTGGATGCGGCAGCGGTGGCGGCGGCGGCGGAGGATGGTGCGGCGGAAGCAGTGACGCAGGTGCCAGCTGCCGTACGGGTGCTCCCATGCCTGCGGAGGCCGGAACTGGCGGGGCAGTGGCAGCGGCGAGGCCGCACGGTCCGCTACTGCCGGCAGCACCGCCGCCACTAGTGTTGTGCGAACTGGGTGGTGGTGGCGGCGGCGGCGGCGGCGGCCCCTCAACGACCCCTAAAAGAGCTAACTCGTCCAGGAACGCCGAAATAATTGCGGAAGCGACCCCGCCGCCGGCTGATGGCACCGACAGCGCCGCCGCCGCCGCCGCCGCCGCCGCCGCAGCGTCTCCTGTAGTTGATCCCGCAGCCACGGCCGCCGTCACAGCCGCGGCGGCCGCCGTCACAGCCTCTGGCACAGCAATGCCCGCCGCCGCAAGCCGAAACAACGCCGTTGCCGTCACGGGTGCTGCAAGCGCTGCTATGTACGACGGCGGCGGCGGCGGCGGGCCAGCAGCGCTGACGGCCGCCGCTGCGTCCCGGCGGCTGCACGGCTTGGGCGCAGTTTTCAGCGCTATCTCCCATTCCGCCCCCTCCACCTGGACCTCCGATAACCAGTCAAACCCTTCCTCTTCCTCCCCCTCCCCCTCCTCCATCTCCCCCGCAGCCGCCGGCCCCGCAGCCGCCGCCGCCGCCACCCGCTCCCGCTCCGCCAGCGGCACTTCCTGCTTTCCCTCGCCCTCGCCCTCGTTTCCCACTTCCCCCTCGCCTAGCAGCCCCTCTCGAGGCGGAGGTGCAGTCAGCGCATCACCACCCGGCGGCACCTCCTCCACCCTCCCCATCGCTGCCCCTACTACCCCCGCCTCGACCTCCACCTCCATCGGCGGTTCAATTATTACAGCTTGCTGCTGCTGCTGTTGCTGCTGCTCACCCTGACTGGACGCAGCAAAGGGTACGACACCGCAATCACCATCCGTACAGCTGTTGTCGAACAGCTCTTCCCATGACCGCAGCACGGCTGCGAAACTGCGGCGCGGCGGCAGGGGGGCCTCCGGAAGGGATAACGTGCTCCCGTCTCCGCCCCCCACACCGGCTCCTCCTCCCCCTCCTCCGCCACCACCCTGATCATGCAGCATCATGCGGGCCCGTGACCCTCCGGCGGTGTCCGCCTCCGCCTCCGCCGCCTCCGCCGCCACCGCCGCCGCCGCCGCCGTCACCTCCCCCTCTTCGGCAGCTTCCCGGCCCTCCCTCGTCTGCACCCCTCCCTTGACTGCACCACCAGGCAAGGACTGCTGCTGCTGCACCGGCTGAGGATGCTCCGCCCGCTGCGGCTTTTCCTCCTCCGCCGCCTTCTCCCCGTGATTCAGCTTCCCCTGCTGCGCCAGCTGTAGCTTCTGCAGACACTCTTCCCCTTCGCCCTTTTCTATCAGGTGACGCTGGTGGTGGTGGTGCTGCTGCAATTGGTGAGGATGTTGATGTTGTTTTCTCCGGGCCTGCCAGTCCGTTCGCGCCCGCAACAGCACCTCCACTGGATGGCTGTCGAAAAGGGGAAGGACGCGGCCGGCGGCGCCATGGACAGCGCCACCAGCACCGGCACCGGCGCAGGCAGCTGAGCTGGTAGAGGTGGCGGCGGCGGCGGCGGTGGTGGTGGTGGTGGTGGTTGCTACGGCGGCGGCGGCTGCTCTTCGCAGTGCGGCCATGACGGCTGACGAACAGAGCGCCGCAAGATCGGCACCTGTGAGGTGTACGTGTATATGTATGTATGTGTATATGTGTATGACTTAGATTACACTGTGGGCCGCGAGATGTGTATATATGTATGCATGTATATATATTTATGCATGTACATATATGTATGTATGTATGTATGTATGTATGTATGTATGTATGTATGTATGTATGTATGTATGTATGTATGTATGTATGTATGTATGTATGTATGTATGTATGTATGCATGCATGCATGCACGTACGTGTGTGTAGGGTGGAGGGAGGAGGGAAAGTGAGAAGATGGAAGTTGATTTACTAGGTTCTTGATTTACAGGGGACAGACTTACATATGCATGTACGTCCATATTAACTCAGCCACTCAGCCACGAGCCACAAAACGTGCGGACGCATTTCAAAGCAGCGAACAAGGCAGTGGACCGTATCGGTAAGGAGGGTGAGCAGGCGAGACATGGAAACAAACAGGCGCTCTCCTTACCCCCCCTCTACCCCTTCACGCCCCACACATTCCCCCCTAACCTCCCTTCCTCCTCCTCCCCCAACCCCTGGCATCAGCTTCACTCGTTCGTGGTTCGTCTTTCCCCCCCCACCACCCACTCACCTGCAAACCCCTCCGTCGCGTCCGCCAGCCTCTGTATCATCTCCTCCCCGGGCGGCGACCTCCACCTCCTCGTGCATACCCGCAGTACGGCAGCTCGGTCCGCCCGGTCCGGCAACCCCACCGCCACCTCACGGTCGAAGCGACCCGGGCGACGAAGGGCGGGGTCCAGGTGGTCGGGGCGGTTGGTGGCGCCGATGACCACCACCTAGCGGGGGGTCGGGGTCGGGGGGAGGGGAGTTGGGGAAAGACGAACCACACGCGATTGAAGCTGCTGCCAGGGCAAGATAGTAGCAAACGTAAAAACTGACCGAAAGGCGTCCGTGGCGACTGTGACGACTGTAACCTCGGGATGACGAAGTGACGTAGATGTTGGAACTCCTACCTACCTAAGCCGCCAGAAATAAAAAGCTGAATAGTATAGCCAATCCGTAAAGTAGTAGGTGTAAAAATAGTAGTGAAGGCGGCGAGTAAAATAGTGCTGACGTAAAAGTGGCGTAAAGTTGCTGGCCAGAAGAGAAGGCTGAATTGCTGATACTGAAAGGCTGCCGGTATGCAAGTGCTCCTCCCAACCCCCCAAAAAAACTAGAACGCGCGACTGACCCGACCGACCCAACTAAACTATTCCGGCTAGCCTACCGACGCCAACGCGATAAACCAAAGAAGCTCGAACCACCCTTTGGACTCACCTGGCCAGGCAGCAGGAGCAGCGGGCAAAGGCACATGCAAGGCAGAGAGGTGGGAGAGTTGTGAGCAGCGAAAGAAAAATAAAAATACAAAAACGCATGCAAATGCTGCTGAAAAGGAGTATTAAACTAGCTGACCGGGATAGCTGGAAACGAGAAAACCTAAAGAACCTATATGAAAACGGATGAAAACGCAGGAACTAAAAAACAATAGCAAAGGCGGCGCAGGACGACACAGAAGGTGTCGTACGAGATGACCTAATGACGCATTGGACGGGATGACGCATTGGACGGCGTGTACGCCGGCAGAATGCAAAGAAGGTAGAAATGGAGAAGTGGGTTGGAAAGAACGCAAACGCGAACGTTCTTTCCAACGCAAAAGAAAAGCCCAAGGGAGGAGAGAGAGTTGGGGGGGAGTT